TAGAATCTCCACTGAGCAGTATCCAATCTGTCTGGGTGTGGCTGATGAAAGGAAATGGGGATAGGACTCTTGTGGTACAATAGTGAATAACTGCTATCTGGACTGACTGTGAGGGTTGGAAACGTAAAGGTAGATGTTTTGTAGCAAAAGGGGGGGAGTTGTTGACTTTGTAGTCTGGGAACATCAAGGGAGAAGAGCAGGGTGTGAGACCCTACCCAGAGAAACAGTGATGCCAGAGATGGAGGCAGAGATGGAGAGATGGAGTGGCTGGGGACTCTAGACCCAGAGAGGGAGAGGGACTATGTGCTGATGACCAAGGGGCTGGGTTGTGGGGTATACCCTTTGGTTGTCTGATGATGTATGGAGGAGATTGTAAGCATGGCAATGAAACAATACACGATAGGATGGATGTAAAGCTAATGTTCTCCCATGTAAACTATCACATAATTCACAATAAAACATTTTTTTAAAAATGGTGGAACCATGACCTCTTGGGTTTCTAAGGGTGGGACCACAGTTTCCCAAGTTTCAAAGAATCAGATATTCTTCAACAACTTGGTTCTAGTGTGTGGAGCTGCTGTTAAGCTGGGGCATCTGCCCCAAGCTGAGGGGGCAGAATGGGGTCTTCCAGGCTGGGGTCACCCAAAGCCTATGGAAAATTGCTGTTCTAGTGGACCTGGAAGGCAGAGCTGAAGCCTAGAGTTGAGGGGCCTCTACTGAGAATCCAGAGTTCATGGCCAACACCCAAATCTGGAGGACAGCATTGCTGCCGATGTGGTTTTAGAGAAGAGAGGGTTATTTTCAAGCCTAGAGAGCTAATTGTTCTGATGGACTTTTAACTTGCTTGATTCCTGTTATCCTTTCTTTCCCTCCAGTTGCTCCCATTTGTAATGGGAATGTCTACCTTTTGCCTGTTGTATTGTTGTATTTTAGGAGCTCTGGTAGCATAATGATTACAAGTCAGGCTGGTAAACTAAAGGTCAGCAGTTCAAAACTACCAGCCGCCCCATGGGAGATGGGGGCTTTCTGCTCCCATAGATTTACAGCCTCGGAAACCCTATTCAGGGTCACTATGAGTCGGAACCAACTCCATGGCACACCACCACCACCACCATCATATTTGGAAGCAGATAACGAGATTATTTGTCCCAGGTTGGGATTTGGATGTGGAAGGCTTTGGCAAGGATATAATGGGGTGAAAGTGTTATGGATGTCGCAAAGACATGAATTTTTTTATTGGGGGGGGTTGTCAAAGTGTGGAATGTCATGGATTGAATTGTGTTGCCCCAAAGTTTGTGTCAGTTTGGCTGGGCCATGATTCTTATTAGTTAGGCAGTTATATAATGATGTAACATGGTAAATCATCACATAACTACAAAGAGAATTAAACGTGGGCCTCTGGTAGCATAGTGGTTATGAATCGGGCTGCGAACCGCAGGGTCCGCAGTTCAAAACTACCAGGTGTTCTGCAGGAGAAAGATGAGGCTTTCTGCTCCCGTAAAGATTTACAGCCTCGGAAATCCTATACAGGGTCGCTATGAGTCGGAACCGACTCCACGGCACACAACAACAGCACTACCCTCAAATTTATTACAACCCTCCCTGATCTGATGTAAAGGAATTTCCCCTTAAGAAAACAAGCTTTTCTCTCAAGAAAACAAAGCAACCCGCTCCCATCTAGTTGAATCTGACTCACAGTGACCCCTATGTCAGCAGACAGACACATCTTTCTCCTGACGAGCAGCTTACAAGAGATGAAAGGAGACGTTAGCAGAGATCAGAGGGACCCACTATCACCAAGAAAGAAGAGCTGGGGGTGGAGTGTGTCCTTTGGACCTAGGTCCCCTGCACTGTGAAGTTCCTAAATCTAAGTTGATGCCAAGACACATGGCGATCTCCAAGGAAAACTGGACCTACAGAAGCTGAAAGGAAACAAGGATCTTTCCCTGGAGCCGTACTCTGAATTTGCACTTCAGCGGCCTCAACTGTGAGAGGATAGATTCCTGCTTGTTAAAGCCATCCACTTGTGGTGTTTCTGTTATAGCAGCACTAGGTAACTAAGATGTATTCCTTTAAGCATTTCCCATTTTCAAGCCTTATCCTTTATCATCTGCCCAATGTAGTTCCTAGGAGTCCTGTGGGTTAATGCTCCAGACTGCAAAGCCGCTTGAGCTGCAAGATTGGCGGTTCAAGCTTACCAGTCACTCCTCGGAAACCCTATACAGGGTCACTATGGGTCGGAACCGACTCGACAGCACTTAACAACAACAATGCAGTTCCTATCAAAGCCTTTCACCAAACCTGTATGTACACTTTCATCTCCCTTCATTCATACCCTGGGGCAGGTTAATACATGTATCTGTTCAAATCTAATGAAGGGTTTCATTTATGGTAGACACAAAAAACATGGACTCATATAGGAAGAAAAAGAACAGTTGTCCAGACCTACCTAAACAAGGAAACTGGAGTGGAGGTAAACAAAGCTACCATGGCCTCCACAGAGCAGGCAGCGGGCCTGGTGCCACTGGGAGAGTCAGTGAAGTTGCCCTCAGAAAAGTCTAGCTTGTAAAACGTCTTGTAAAAAAAGCCAGTTGTGATTTGAAGTTGGAGGAAAAAATGTTTGTGTGATTATGCTTTCAACCACACTTGGAACTGTCCCCTCTACCTAGCTGGGCACAGAACTTATGCTCCCCATAGAATGGGACTATAATCGTTATGACATTATCCATTACTGACCTAACAGGCTACAAATCAATGTTAACACAATCGACCTGCTTTGAGTTGGATTTCTTCAATGGTTCAATTATAACCATAAGCAAATAACCCACCCTGACATGTAAGCACCCAAAATCTGCCACCCCATAAGTTAAATTCGATTAGGTTTCTATTTTGTTTCTTTTTAAAACACCAGTCTTCCCCCTTTGCCGGTAGATCTATAGGTAGAAAAATAAATGAAGTCAGTACTCTTTACTTTTTGCTAGAAAAAACAATGACTCAAATACAGTGAGTGGTTATTTGCAAGGCTATAATTTTTTTAATGACAGATTTTCCTATAAGAAACCACTATAACATCTGTCCAAGTACTCCAAAGAAAAACAAAATACATAAAGATTAAAAGTCTATTACTTTAACAGCACATTGCCAAATATAGACAACTAGGATAAAATGCCAAGGAACCTTAAAAAATAACTTTAAAAGATGCAATGTTCAAGTCATTCAAATGTGTAGGTTCGACAAACAACAGAGAAACAAGTCCAAGAGTGGTTCTATTGTGCAGGATGGCAGCTCAGACTGTACTTCGTCAGAGTTCGTTCTGGTGTCTCCAACCAGCAGGCCTGAGTAGAGTTGGCGTTATCTAGTTTGCTTGGAGATGTGTACGCAGACTGAAGGGGCGACATGAGCACAGCAGGCTGGGTTCCCCTTTGCTGAAGTAGGAAGGCAGGTTTGGTGGATCAAGCTTGATCAGTTTCCCTAACAAAAACTTGTATGCATGCTGAAACAGACGAGCTCCTGAATATGTCATGCGGAATATTTACAGCCATTTTCATAAACTGAGCTCAGTAACCTGACAGAATAAGAAAGGTAGCTGTTGATTTATTGTATAACCTTGTACAACTTGAATGACTTGGTGGGTAGATGACGCTGAAGTTCAGACAAACATTAACATGAACTGATGTACTGACTGAAGAAGCATACATCGTATAAAACGTACACTTCCCAGAATTCCTGCATGGCAGGAAAGTCGCTACCACTATACAATAAATGGCTATGCCAACAGTTACCGCTGCCAAGACAGGGGATGGCTTCCGAATTCCCCTAAAACCTCAAGGAGTGTTTTCACCAGCACAGACACCACTTGGAGAGCAGTACATTCTTTTGTTTGGAAAGATGTTGCTCACTGGGAAATCCGAACATCAACTCAGTTTTCTAACTGGGTAAAATTTAAGGCAATGCTACTCAGACCTGAATGGGGGACTGGGGGGAGGGGGGCAAGTGGAGAAATACCTCCAAGTTTGTCCTTTTCTTCAGGAACATAAACAGGTCAGAAGTGACAACAAAAAGGATTCCCTTCTGAAGTGTACTTTACTGATACATCACAAAAGGAAACCTGCTTTCATCCTCCAAATATGAAATGAGAACCTTTTCTGTGCTCTTCCTTGAACCGTGTCAAATAAAATAAAATAAACTACACACATGGCAGCTTAGGTATTAATATTAAACACAGAAAGGAAAGCAACTATACCCAGACCACACAAAGTCGCCACCAGCTCTGACCATAAGTGCTCAGTAGACGGTGCTCCATAGCATTTCCATTTCCTCTTCCAAGCGGTGTGTAGTGAGAAATTAACCTGTAACATCAACTACAGACTGACAAATGACAAGTAGACACAGTAAGTTCAAAAGTTTTACATTTTGCTCCTGTTTGGCTGCTTAAGAGCAGCAATTGAAAGTGATATAAAAACTTCCGACCACAAAGCTTGCTATACAGATAAAGTACATAATCAAAAGTTAAGCAGCAATTACATTTCTTAAACTTATCTGGTATAGAATATTTACATATCTGGAAAGAGAGAGCCCTGAAACCACCAGTCTGTTGATCAGCCCCCTGCCCTCTGCCCCCTCCGAATGGAACCAGTGTGCTCTGAACTATATACACCTGTACTTTGGCTGCAACGCCTATGGATGGTCTTGCTCTGGGGAAAAAAAAAAAAAAGTCTTGGAAGTTATTTGCAGCCTCCTTTACATCACAGCAGTGTGTGGTAATCACCGAATGTGTCTTCTCACAGCAAGGGGGACAAAGGGCCCCCATACTTTCCTCCCCAACCTGAACTGGGCAAGACCCTAATGACATCAGCATTGTACTCCAACTGCAGCTCCGGGCACCACATGAGGCCATCAGCGAAAAGGGAAAGAAAACAGTCACAAAAAAGGCAGCAGCAATCAACAACAGTCCCCCAACAAAAGCACCTCTCCTCCCGAGACTCCTCCCTAGGCCACAGTCCTCCCTCCCCCTCCCCCCACACAAGCAATGAATTCACGTCACAAGAACTTGGTACTCCAGTTAAATGTCAGGTAAATAGAAGAATGAGGAAATCCATCACTGTTGATACTTAGAACTGAGACAGAAAGCTAACAGAACACACAACAACACGGTGAAAAGAACTTTCTAAAACAAATCCATTCTACATAGTGCAGCCAATAAAACAAAACCAAAAAGGATTCATTTGTTCACAATCTGCCTTGTACAGGATATTTATATGCTTTCTATGCCATATAAAGAGTTTTTATACAGCTTCAACAATCAGAGACATGCACTGGGACTTGTTAGGTAGTACAGATTTCTTCACAATCACATGTGCAAATTTTACAAATCACAAAGTGAGGATTAATAAGCTTAGGCTGGACCGTGTCTCGTATTATTATCTAACAAATTTAATGGGGGCTCAGAGTCATCCATGGGAAGAACCAGGCGTGTGCCCCGAATGACCAGTTCGTGGTCCCCAAATGCAAGCTCCCGATCCAAGGCATCTTCTGAACTGTTTCCCAGGAACCGCCTAGGAGCCCCAGATGTTGCCGACTCTGTGTTCACAGTGGAATCTCCATACGTCAAGCTAATATCGCCATCATTGAGAATAAGATCTGAGTCGTCATCTTTCAACTGTTCCTGGTTCTAAATGCAAACAAAATGAGTTTTAAGTATTATGAGGAACAATAAGAAACATTTCTAATAGGAGAATTTAAAAAGATGTCCTCTTCAAAATCCTTCAGTGGCATCCTACTGCCCTCAGGAGAAAGTCTATAGTCCTTACCTTGGCTTAGAAGAATCCACCGTGATTGGTTCCTTCAGCTTGATCTCCTGTTCACCATCTGCCTCTGTCCTGACACTACCAATGTGTGCCAGTTGAACAAACTGTTCCATCCTCAGGCTGGTCTACACGTTGTCCCCTCTGTCCTCCTTCCTAAGACTAACACCTGCTTCTCATTAAGTCTCTGCTTAAAAGTCACTTTTTTCAGAAGGTTTTCCTTCCTTGGTCTTCCAAGACTAGGGGATTCATCCCTCCTAAGTGTTCTCACAGCACCCTGCACTGAGCCCTGGAGCATAACTGTGTGCATGGTGACCTGCTCCCCACACTCCACACTGTAAGTCCATTGATGGCAGGGACTGTGTCATCCTCTGTGCTGTAATCCAACCATCTAACAGAGTGCCACACATAGAAAGTACTCACTAAATCTAAGTGGAAATGATTATTTAACAGCTTTTGTAGATAAAGCTTTTACTTTTGGATTAACAATATCCCCCAAATATACTGAATCCTCACTACAGATTTGTCTCCTAGTCTAGTAACCTTTGGTCCTAATGGAAATTTTGAGGCCAAAATAATATATTTCAAAAAGTTCATGCAAGAATGAATGAAAAGATAAGGGAATTTCTCCATGAACTTTATGAAGCTCCCTCGTACGTTCTTAACTTATTTTCCCCTTCTGTAAGACTCGATTTAATACAAGTGGACTTTTGAAAAGTTCTTGGAAGAATTCTATTACCTTGTGATTCCACTTTTGCACCAACATTTTGAAGCCCTCTTGTATCTTCCTGTTTTGGTAAATTGAAAACATATGCATGCACAGAAAGGTATGGAAGGATGGATAGTTAAAAATGATGAGTTCATATTACTTGTAAAAATCAGAAAAAAGGTTATCTCTTTTTCTTGAAAATGTAAAAAGAATCATTCTATATACTCATATTGACGTTGCAAAACAAACCCATCTGTGATGACTATCCCCTGAGGAAGTAGTAGCGCTGACAGAGCTGACAGAGATATCTTCCACCCTGGTGAACTTGATTTCCCAAGTCTTGTGTTTGTTTGAAAATTCTAAATTTGTCTCTAAGATAGTCAAAATAGACTGAAAAGATTAGTAGACAGAATCTTAAAAAAAAGTTCCAGAAATTTGCTGCTTGAAGTTTGTCTAAATAGAGCCAAAAAACTGTAAATTAAAAAACCCAATGACCACCAATCAACCCCAATCCCTTTACATCCATTCTTGTTAGCGCAATGAATCTAAAGTCTCTCTCACCTCATTCAAGAATCCCCACAACAAAACTCTCTGGCTCCTTCACAGTCAGCAAGGCCTCTTTGGCACTTTGTCGTTTCTCTACTAAGTCTGAGGTTTGAGGCAGTAGCTACCAAAATTTAAAATGCACATGCTTCTTGCCCAAGCAATATTCCTCCTGAACACCAATTCTGTTGTTGTTGAGTGCTGTCAAGTCGGTTCCAACTCATAGACACTGTTTAGGGTTTCTGAGGAGCAGCTAGTAGGTTTGAACCAATGACCTTGCAGTTAACAGTCTAGTGCTTATCATACAGTGCCACACCAGGACTCCAAAAATTAAATCTACATTCCTTCATATACTTGAGTAAATGTACATGCACAAGGCTGTCCACTGTAAGAATTGTTCGTGAGAGCAAATGAAACAATGAAAGAGATACAAACGTCTATCCACAGGAGACCAATAAATTTTGGTAGAGCCATACAATTGAATATTATGCACCCACAAAAAAAGGGAAGGCACATAACTACTGTACCCAATGTCATGCTATCCATGTTGCATCATTAAGTGAAAAAGGCATGTAGCAGGCCACAACACTTATTACAGCCCCATTCCCAATGGCACCTGTGAGAGCCAGAACTTGAGGAGATGGTCTTGTTTTTCCGATTCTCACAAGTTTCCCACATTTGACAGGGTACAGCCACCACCTTTCCATTTCTCTCTGCTAGTGGAAAAGATCTGTGTTTGCCTTCTCTGGCAGGTTTTCCCTTTACAAAGGTTCCACCATTTACAGGTTTTACTGTATACATTTGTAGAGACAAAATATATCAGAAGGTCTACACCATACGCCTTTAATAAAGACTGCCTCTGAGGAAGATAGTGGGAGAGAGTGGCTTTAACTTTTTCACTTTTTGCATTCCAAACTTTGGCCAAGAGAATATCACTTTTATAACTTAAAAACGTAGTTAATGACATCAAAGGGAGGGTCAGTCACTGGCTATAAGGTAAAGGGGAAGACACCATACAATCAGAGGGAGGCTGGCAAACATATGACACAGGGAAGGCAGAACACCAGGAGAAGTGCAGGAGACAAAGACAGGATGACGTTTACTGCCGTGCTCTATTTTTATGGCATTCCACAGAAGAGGCATTGTGGGACTGCTTTGGCTCCAGAATCTTAACCAATGGAGCTGCCTGAGCCCTCTGTAGAGTTACATGGGTCCCAGGGCCCAGAGAAAATGGACACTGCTTCAGACAGGAGCATGGACATGTGGGAGGGAGAGACAAGGATGAGGCAACATGGTGGTAGTGGTGGGGTTCCCCACTCCACCAGCCAAATATCAGCAGTGCGCACTTCCACACAACACCGGGCAGGAGGCCGCTCCTCCCTGTCCTGTCTGCTCTAAGAGATGGCAGGAGTGGCTGCAGGGACCTGGGGGCTGCACGATACATGGCTTCACAGCTGAATGAAGGCTCTGAGCACTGCATCAGAAGAGCCAAACTGGTGTGGCTATTGTTTTCTTAACACTGGCGCCTAATTGATACCATATATAATTTTTGTTGGTTCATTTAGAATTAGATAGCTTAGGCTCCAAAGGGTTAAAGACATTCACTTGAAAAATAAAGGTTCATATGTATAAGTGAAGGCTAGTTGGCACACCTGTGATTTCATTCCTCAGTGGCAATACTTACCAACTGACCAATTATATGTCAGTAGGCAAGGTAAAAATATGGACTTGAGATTACTTCTAGGCATACTCACGTCTCCTAGCAATGGGGTACAGAGGCAGATAAACTTTCCCTCGGAGCCCACGTTTAATACGTGTAAACTAACCGACCATCTGTTGCAAGCTTTGGTACGTCACATGTTATTGATCTTCTCAATGGAGACGTGACAGCCCCACTTTACAGGCAAAAACATCCACATTTTTACCTGTAAAGTGGAGCTGTCACATTTACACTGAGCTCAGGTCACGTACTACAAATAAATGGAAGTTGGTGTGGAAAACCAGCTACTTTAAGATAAGGCACTAGTTATTCCATATCTGTTTTCAAAGGACATTTCAAGGGCTATGAATGTTATTTAGAGATGTCTGTGCATTGTCAATCTAGTGAGCAAAATATACTTATATTCTCTCTCGTGGTTCTTATCACTCGAAAGCAAACAAAATAAAACCAAACCAGGAACCCATCCATCCATCGATCAAGTGGATTCAATTTCATAAAGAACTTAGTTCCTGGATCTAACTAACTTACCTCATAAGCCTGAGGGCTAGTTAGGCATCTCGCAATGGGTCCACAGCAGGCAGGGAGGGTTGTGGTAAGAGGAGGCCCACTGTGCGTCAGCAGAGGCTTGAGATAGCTGTCCTGGTTAAGGAAGACCTTCATTCCTTTCTTCACAACTTTAAAACAACATCACACTTGACAATAATTACCATCACAGTGCACCAACCACTGCAGAGGATAATGAAAGGCTTCCCCGTACATTTTCTCATTTCATCTTCACAGTCTATCAGTGAGATAGTCAAGGGAGAGTTCATTCTGATCTCTAGTTCTCTCGCTGACACTGAGTCAATCTGACTCACCACCAATCCATAAGGCAGAGGAGACCTGCTCCATAGGGTTTCCGAGGCAGTACATCTTTAAGGAAACAGACCACCACCTCTTTCTCCCGCGCAGCTGCTGGTGAGCTCAAATTGTCAACCTTTCGGTTAGCAGCGTGATGCTTAACCCACTGCACAGTTTACAGATATGGAAACTGAGGTGCAGGGAGGTCAACGGGTTGCCTAAAGTCAGAGAATTCAGTAAATGGGAGGTCAGTACACTAATCAGATTAGTTTGATTTCAAAGCCTGTTGCCCTTTCCACTGCACCACACTGTAAGTAAAGAATGATAATCGCCAGAAATGACATTACATGTTACAGTAGAGGAGGTGGTGGTGGTGTGCTGTGGAGTCGGTTCTGACTCACAGCGATACAGGGTTTCCGAGGCTATAAATCTTTAAGGGAGCTGAAAGCCTCATCTTTCTCCCATGGAGCTGCTGGTAAATTCAAACTGCTGACCTTGCAATTAGCAGCCCAGCTCACAATCCACTACACTACCAACGCTCCTTATGCCGATAGTGGTGTTGTTTTTAAGTGCTGTTGAGTCCGTTCCAACTCACAATGACCCTGTACAGAGTTTCCGAGGAGCAGCTGGTGGGTTTGAGCTACTGACCTTGTGGTTCAAAGTCCAGGGCTGATCCAACAGTGCCACACCAGTAGTGCAATAGTAGAAGACAGTAATAAAAATGGCTTTCACCACTTACTGGGGATTAAAAGTGGCCTCTGAAGGTTTTGAGTTGCAACCTCAGTATCAAGTTGATTCTTTTCCTACATAGCTTTAAGGAAGGAAGGAAAGTCAAGTCTAAGGCACTGTAATTATGTCTCATGAGCGTCTCTATTATTGACCCTCATTCCATATCCATCTATTCTCCTGAAAAGAAAAGAAAAGAAAACAAAACAGTACAACTGAACTGTGTAACTGTGTATACTGACCTTGTACATAGTCATCTTACAAGATTCAAGAATCTAGGGGCAAATCTAATTAAAGAACAAACCTAGAGGATTTATTCTATCAAACAGCAGGATTTAGGGAAAAGGTTAATAATTAAGAGAGTGTACTAATGGTACAAATAACAGATACCAAGAGTCGAAAATGCAGAAACTGACTCCCACATACATGGCCCAGCGGTTTACTTCTAGGGCCCCAATACTGTTCAGTACAATAAGGAGTCCCTAGGTGGTGCCGATGGTTAGTGTGCTGGCCTCTTACACTTCACCCAAAGACACTCTGAAAGAAAGGCCTGATAGTCTGCTTCTAGAAACTCAACAGCAACTGGGTACAATGGTATTCTCAATCAATGGATCAACTGGATTGTTGTTGTTGTTAAGTGCCGTCAAGTCGGTTCCAACCCATAGTTACCCTGTATAGGGTTTCCGAGGAGCAGCTGGTGAGCTTGAACCGCCGAACTTCCAGTTCAAATGGCTTTGCAGTCTGGCACATTAACCCACAGCACCACACCAGGACTCTGGATCAACTGGATATCCATACAGAAAAAATGTTGATCTTCACCTATACCTCACACTGTATAAAAAATAAATTTGTGATGGATCAAACACTGCAATGTAATGGCTAAGACAATCATGCTGCCTATATAAAGATGAACACTCAAGAGAATACAGGGCAATTTCTAAGGTGCTGCTGTTTATACCAATATAGGTCAACATTAAGCTGCCTTCTATGAATCAGCTACTTTACTAATTTTTAAGTTTTACTTCAGTTTAAATATACAGGCAATCTGGCCTCCCAAAGGAACCAAAATCTAGAATGCTCAGTGTCTAATTCTACTAGGGCACTTTGTTGTTGTTGCTAAGTGCCGTCAAGTTGGTTCCGACCCATAGCGACCCTGTACAGGGTTTCCGAGGAGCGACTGGTGAGCTTGAACCACCAACCTTGCAGTTCAAACGGCTTTGCAGTCTGGTGCATTAACCCACAGCGCCACACTAGGGCACTAGGGACTTCAAACTACCAGATCTTAGTCTAATAGGGCAGTACTGAGGCTAACAAGGCTGGGTGTTTGCTTCTACAAGAATAGACAGAAAAAGAAGTGCCTATTCTATTTCTTTCTCTGCATTAGGTCATTTAACGGTTTTATATATTATGCATAAATTGTACAAAATATTTCATGTAGTAAACACTGAAAACAATTTTATTATATAAATCAGAGGGATGAAAATGCCCCAGGAGATGGGAGTGGCTTATACCCAAAGTGCTGATGATAGAGCCAAAAGCAATGACACATGAAAAATGTGATGTATGAATGCAGAATGATTTACACGTCATTGACTCCTAACAATGAAGTGTCGTCAAGTGTACTTTTCTTAAAAATATACAGTTTTGATCACAAAAAGTTGAAAGCAAGGAGAAAAAAAAAATTGTCTGGTTGTCCCAAATTTGTTTCAAGGGAGGATAAACCATGCTTTCATTCAACTACTGATAAATCTTTGTCTGAAAAAAACTTCATGGTTTCCATTTTCTAGTTTGTTTTTCAAAGACGATACTAATTTTACTAAATAGTGATCAAATTTTTATAAAATACATGATTCAAACAGGTTATAAAATACCAACACTATCCAAAGTACAGCTATGAAGGAGGCTTAGAGTAGGACAAGAAGGAAATTTGGTAACCAATGAAAGCACGAGCCTCCATTTGTGGCTTTGTGATCAGAGAGCAGGATCTCACGGTCTTTGGAAAGGCCAGAGAAGGTTTATGGCTGAATATTGCGGTCTCAAACACAACATTCATTTCTACTTCATTCTCGGGCCTTCTCCTAAGATAGCCTTTCTTCTTTCCCCTGAGCAGGTACACTGACAAGAACCAACCAATTTCTTTTTCTGGATTAACTACATTAGCTAAAGGATAATAAATATGCAAAGTCACTTGATAAATAACCCAGACCTCTAAGAAAGTATGCCGTTAGGGTTCTGGAGTCCCTTCCCCACAGCCAACTTCTGCAACAACCCTCCCTACCAGCTTCACGGGTTTTCCCAGGAACTCATTTGCAGCTTTCCTCTGCTACACAGAAGGGGCAAGGGAAGGCTAAAGGCGAGCCTCCATATTGCACTTCAAGAAGGTAAAGATCACAACAATTCAACTGCATTTATCCACGTCCACACTGTCCTTCTTTCTGTAAGGATACTTATGATCAAAGTTGTACCATATCCGGAAGAGCCAAGCACTCTCTGCTTTGGTGGTTCTCCTTTCATTTTCAGGAACACCCTGGAAGCAGAGAATCAATGAATGAATGCACTGCCACGGTTCCCGCACACAGATGCCGAGCTGTTCCTCTGTAGACCAGAAACACAGTGTAAGAGACTATATGTGACAGGCTCTCTGACCTTGGGAGCCCTAGAAGTTGAACAGCTTGTATAGTGTAGGTTTGGCATATAAAATTGAAATGGTTACCCAGACTGCTAGCTGATTTAGGCGGCTATTTGCATTTACAAACTAGTGTGGGCTGATTCACACCTCAATCCCACAGACTTTCACTTCCATGTGAACAGCACCTCAAATGTAAACCCTCTCACATCAGCGAAATGAAAGCAAGTAGGGAAATTGCCTGGTATACCTGACAGGTTAGAAGGACAAACCATGAGAGCAAGCAGGCAGCTTCTGATATTGCTCCCTACAACATGTCCTGATTTGTCATCCAGTGGCTAGGTGATCTAATGGGTCGACTCCCAGCTCTCACACTATCATGTAGACAAATCCCTTTCCTTCTCTGTGCCCAAATTTCCCCTTAGCTATTCCCAAAGGTTCTTGGTAGCTCTAACATTCTGCAAGCACAAGGTTCAGATGCAGGCATTTGCTTCCTTTCCTCCTAGCCTTTCTGACCCTCGGAATGAATTAATCTTTCCCTTGACATGTACCAAAGCATCCACAGCATAAAAAGGTTCGAGAGAATACTGTATGGGTTTATAAGGGCCACATTCTTAGACATAGGTATGTGTGTGTCACTCACTTCATTAGGAGCAAAATGGGAACTTGCTCAATTCATGTGTAAATCTCAGCATCTCTTCACCATACACACACCACTGTTTGCCCAGTCCCCTATTCTCCATATTGACTATAATGTTCCTAGTGAACATTCAGAGCATCCAGTAACGAATATAACAAACCAAAACATCCATGGGGCTTTGAGAGCAAGGGAAGCATGAGATTTTCTTTTCTGGTTGTCACTTTTTGGGTTATCACAGCTGGTACTCATCTCCCTGGCTCTCCCTGCCACTCACAGCACTTCCTGTTCTCCCCTGTGGTGACAAAGGTGACATAGCAGATGGAGACTTCAAGTGATCAAGCATTTGCCTCTTGAACTGGATTGGATACTAGTTCAATTCTTATTTTGACCCAGGGGTGGGTCTGGACACAATTTCAAACCTATGGAATTGATATTTGAAGGCTCTGGTCTTCAAAGAGGACAAGGCTTCACTTTATCATTTACATACTCATCACTCAACAGCTAATAAAATGGGCATTTAGAAAATCAACTGGAAGATTTTCTGTCACCACACCCTGAAGACAGACTGCCATGACATGCTTTCCATCTCCAATACTTAATTTCGGTGATTTCTCACACAAACCCTTATAAATATCGCCTAGGACAGAGTTGCGTTTTCAGTGGTGTACACACACACACACACAGAAATATTACATAGCTGATAGAAATTCCCAAAAAGGAGTGGTCAGTCTAAGGATCTGAGTTGCATAGCATTCACAGGAACAAGTGAGAAAATGACACACGGAAAACTCTAACGAGGATGAAGCCGAGAGTGAGGCGGGCTCTCCCCTTAGCAGGCAGGGAACATGGGCTAGAGATTCCAACGTTTCTAGGCAGTTCTCAAGGGCAGCTGCTGGTCATCCAATCTGTGAAAGGCACACAGGAAGAGCAGCTGGAGTGGGACTTACATCAGAGGCAAGCCTTCATGCGCAAACGGGAGTGGAAAAAGGTTCCCAGTGCCAGTGCAGCCACTGGAAAATCCAGGAGCACTTAGGAGACTGCTCTCATTCGTGGCCAAGGCCCAGGATGGTCACAGACCAGAACACCATCAGCCCTGACAGCTACACCCTGCCGCAAACTTAGTTTTGTCTCTATTCAAGCAGTGAGAAGAGTCAGGAATCATGTCAGTTAAAAGCTGATGCAAATAGGACAGGATCTAAATAACAGTGGTATGAAGTCTACAGTAGATTGTTCTCTCTCCAAAACACTGCACATTGGACAGAAATGCCAGAATAACACAAACACATATTTACCAAATGTTCTTGGTCTGAATCAACACCAACCCTAAAGGAGAAACACAAAAGGCAAATGAGATTTCAAAGCCAAATAAGGAATCTATTCACAGAAGTACATTTTCAGGCAACACAGAAGCTAGGAAATGCTTCATATTGACGTGCAGTTTTGGCTACGGTCATTTTCTTTAGTAACAGCTCAGATTCTAAGTCAAGCAGGGTCTAATAATGACTCACTTCCTGATAATCCCACTTACCAGTTTCAGAAAAATAACATTTCCTTCTCTGAATGCAAGCCCACTACTAGCAGAGTCAGGAAAAGCAATACTGTTACTAAGTGCAGCTGGGGCGCCATTCCAGGAACAAGGCTGGCACCATACAATTCCAGGAGGGACTTACAGAGTTCTGGAGCTCTCTGCTCTCATGGCAACATTCTGCTACGATAACTACAGAGAGGGTCCAATGACCGTTTTCTCCATAGTCTAAGGATAGATATTAGCCTCAGGTCTTGATAATTCTTTATCTGCTTAAAATTGCCAGGGAAAAGCTTCCTTATGAAGACATTTTCTTTGCCTTCTCACTATTCCCCCAGACATGAGCACTTACAACTCTGGTGATTCTTCCTCTAGACTTTCTCAGGTCTTTCCTCTTTTCTATGCCAACCACACAAGCTCAAGCCCTCATTCTGACTCCTGGTGTCTAAAGTCACTAGCTATAAGGTTTCCTAGCTTCCAGGCTCTCCCCTAGAGAGGGTCAAGTCCAAAGTCCTAAGTGTGGCACTCAGGACTCTATAAACTAGCAACCCCCATCCCAACTAACCTTTCCACCCTCAACTCCCATGATTCTCTCCTCCATACTTTCTAATAGCCAAACCCCACTCTCCCCAAATCGCTTCTCTTTGCTCATGCTGTTCTCTGTCTGAAATGCACTGTCCCCTGGTTGCTCTACTTGTTTTTCAAGTCCAAATTAACCACTCTGTGACTCCCTCACGCAGAAGAATTTATTCCTATGTACTTCTGCAGCACTTTCTAGATTCCTGTATTATAAGACGTAGCACAGGAGATTATAGTTATTTACCTGTCAGTCTCCCCAAATAGACTGGGAGCTCCTTGAGGGTAAAGGCCATGTCTCAATTCATCTCTGTATCCCCAGAGTCTAGCATAGTACCTGACACACAATAGGTGCTCAAATGTTTATCGATTTAAGTTAACTACTACAGACATCACAGAAAACATAGCAGTGTATGACGCTGCAGCAGTAGCGTCCCAGAATACGAGTAACACTGGAGGGAAGAAAATGATGCCAGACCTCATCTGGAAAGCAAGTGAATCATGGTCAAGTACGTGAAAATGGATTTCCATGACCAGATTCATAATTCAAAGAAAGGGTCCATTCTTCTTTGTTAAAATGACCAGAGGCTGCTTTGGTCACATTATACTGTTACCACATTTATGCATCTAAAGTGACATCTAGTGGTCTTAAAGATAGCACATGTGGAGTGCTCAGCTGAACTGAGGCTGAAGACAATTTAGTATACTAAACATTTATAGAGCGCCTATCATTTGCCAGACACTGTACTAGGCACAAGGCATAGACATGAATTAGACACAGCACCTGCCCATGAAGAGCTCAGACTAGTGGGGGACACAGACACAACTATAATATAATCCCTAAGAGTTTCCTAATCAGGGAGGGCTGGATTCACATTTGAATTTGTGTGTATTCCAGCTGTGTGAACGTAGCCAAGCTACACAGACCTATGAACCTTAATTTTATCACCTGTAAAATGAGAACAATGTCCACCACACAGAGTTGCTGCAAGGATTAAATGGGAAACAAAATGTATGTAAAGAGTTTAACAGAGTATTTGCTACATCATCACCACTGAGCTATTGTTAAAGCAAGGCCGTTCTTGTGTTGGTGCTGATTCAAAGCTTGATGGCTGAAGTGCTACAGCAGAAATGCCCAGGGCTAAGTAAACCGAAGAGTGGTCTGAGTAGAAAAGAATGGGCTCAAAAGAGGTGGCACTTCAGTTGAATCATCTACTGGGAAGAAAGGAGAATTCTAGGTAGAGGGAACAAAGGCTCAGATACAGAGCAGTGGGAAGTCTGGCTGATAAATGGCAGGTAGCCAAATATGACTGCCACAAAGTATGTGACCAGAGGCAGGAACAGCTGGTTGGCTCTTACTCACTGAGGACCCACTGTTCTCACAACAGCTAAGAATGATCCTTTACACTAGGAATTTGATCATGTCACTCCCTTGCTTTAAAAGTCACCAAGATTTCCAATTGTATTTTTCTTTAACTTTTATTGTGAACTGAGTGAAGGTTTTACAGAGCAGATTATCAGTTTTGCATTCAACAAATCATGTACTTTGCTTCATTACGATGACTACAGTTCCCTCCCATGTACCGGCAGTTCACAGTATCTACCTCTATTTATTTTAACTATTATATTCCCCTGTGTCATGGGCCACCTTCATCTTTCCTCAGCTAACCTCCCTCTTGTATATTGCCTGCCCTGGCACCCATGGTAACATGTGCCTACTCTCTACCCAGTGAATAGTTTTTCCTATCCCCTACCCCCATAACCATCATAGATGGCTTCTTTATCTCTTATAGACAGCATATTGAAGCATCCTGTTTTCTTATCCATTCTGATACCGTCTCTTGACTGGTGCTTTTAATCCATTTACACCAGTGTAATTATCAGTAAGTATTAATTGACTTCTGCCACTGCTGTGTTTGTTTGTGCTGCTGGTGTCTTTATTCCACACAATTTGCTATGCTGTGTTCCTTTACTTTGTGGGTCTTCTTTTCATTTCTGTTGTGTTAATGTTGACAAAATCTTTATTTCCCTCTTTTTTATTTTGATGTGCAGGTGTAGTGATTTTCTTTAAGGTTACCCTGTAATTTATTAATTTTTCCCCTGTTTAATATGTACACTATTCCCTCTTTTTGCTTTGTAGCTGGCTTCATTATACAAAATATCTCTGGTTCCCTATTTTCAATCTTGTAAATTTTACTTTAAATACTTCTGTGGGTTAATGAGCCAGACTGCAAAGCCATTTGAACTACAAGGTCGGCGGTTCAAGCTCACCAGCTGCTCCTTGGATACTCTATACAGGGTCACTATGGGTCGAAACCAACTCGACAGCACTTTACAACAACAACTTCTGGATTGAGTTCTAGGTGGTATTGTCATGTATGGTAATCTCAAGTTGTTGTCTACAATGTAGATTCTCAGTCCAAAGAACTCCCTTCAGCATTTTTAATAAAGGTGGTCTGGTTATTACAAATTCCTTTAATTTCTGTTTATCTAAAAATATCCTAATTTCACCATAATATTTGAAGGACAGCTTTGCTGGGTATATGATTCTTGGTTGGCAATTTATTCCTTTCATAATTTTGTAGATGTCATGCCATTGCCTCCTTGCCTGCATGGTTTCTGCTGATAAGTCAGACTTTAGTCATTGGTTCTCCTTTATAGGTAACATCATATTTCCCAACTTGCTCTCAGGATTCTTTCCTTGTCTTTGGTTTTGGAAAGTTTCACTGTGTCTTAGTGATTTTCTTTTGGGATCTATCCTGCTTGACGTTCATTCAGCTTCTTGTATGCTTGTGTTCTCATCTTTTATGATGTTAGGGAAGTTTTCTTCCAGCAACTCTTCAGCAATTTTCTCTGTGCACTTTATTATCTCTTCCTGTTCTGGAATTCTGATCACCCATAAGTTATTCCTCTTCATGGTATTCCACATAACTCTTAGGCTTTCTCTGGATTTTTTTCATTCTTTCTTCTGATTATTCTTCTAGCAAACTTACTACTGAAAGATTTATCTTCAATCTCACTAATTTGGGCTCCCGTTGCTTTAAATATGCTCCTTTGCCCTTTCAATGTATTGTCATTTCTGAAATCTTAGTATTAATCTTATGGATTTTTAACTGTAGGTTTTGTATTGCTTCAATATTTGCATTTATTTTGTCCGTTTGTTCTTACAATGCTTTCCTGAATTCTAAAGTTTTTTTTGTGTGTTCTCCTCTTGCTTTCTTCAATCTTTCTGTCAGTCCTTTAAAGGTTCCTAAATATCAGCCTTTTGAATTATTTTTCAGTTAATTCCACTACCTGTTCTTTCTCAGAGATGTTTTATGGATCTGCATCTTGATCATTTGTTTGAGTCATTCTCGTTTCTTCATGTGAGCTGAAATTGTCTATGGGGAATTGTGGTGTTGTTGTATTTCTATTTAACTGATGACTGTATGCTACTATGCTCCTAAGTTCTCAACACCTGTCTCCTGTGGGTGTAGTCAGTGAATGGGAGCACGTACACAACTTTCGTTCACTGTTCGTGCACCTCAGTTTAGGGTGGGTCTCAGTGTTGTTGGCTGCTGTCTGTTAATGATTGGATGGTATAGGAGCTGGTCTTGGCTCTTGCCCAGTGGATGGTGCTGCAGAGGATATGGCTGTGGCCAGGCTGTATGGGCACAATTGCTATCTCTTGTCGAATGAGAAAGAGAAGAAAATCCCTCAAACACTCATATACACACACAAGAAAACAAAACAGAATAAACAACAGGGAACAAACAATGAAAAGAGAAAATAATAAAGAAAAACAGGCAACAAACAGAAAAAAAAAGAATAACAAAAAAGAGAAAAGAGGAACAGGAAAATGAACCCATAGAGGACAAAAGGAAGAGAGAAAAGGAAGATTGAAAATTATTAACTAAAAAACAACAACAAGGGAAAGTAAAGATAAAAAGAAAAAGAGTTGAGAGTAGTAAAGAAAGATGTAAAGGAATAAAAAAAATTTTTATTAAAGAAGAAAAGAGGAAATGAGAACTAGAAGACAAGAAGGAAAAACAAAAGTGGAGACTGAAAGGATGAAATTCAAGAGAATGGAAAGAAATGAATAAACAACTAAACAATGAAAGAAATAAACCAAATAATCAGTGCAGTTGTTTGCCCCAGAGGGAAAACTCTGGGATGTTCCTGCCAGCCAAGGAGTTCAGTTGGATGAGGGGGAAAGTTACAGCAAAGTTCCTGGTCCTACACGGAGCTGCTACCAGCCTAGGTGTTACCTACATTCAGGGCACTCAATCCCTAAGTGGTTCGTGGAGGCCCCTGATGGAGCTGGTTTCAGTGTCAGTTAATACAACAGGGAAGTTGGAGGCGTGCTGGCTGGTTATGAAGGGTTCTACTTGACTACTGCTGCTCTGGTGGCTCTGTGGATTCTGCAGGTCCACACAGCCGAGCCTGCCTCAATCCAGGCACCAAAACAACCCAGCTGACCCCTGCCTCACACTCGTGTGGTTCACAACCACATGGCTCCAAATTCCCAGAGAGCAAAATGTGCATTGGGGGTGGATGATGGTGGGAGCTGGCACACCTCTGGTCACCAGGGAAGTGTGGGGAAAAGAAAGAATTGTACCTTTCCTGTCACCTGTGTGAATCTGTTCTGCCAGGCCACTTTCTGTCATCAAAGCTGCTCACAAAAGTGCAAGATGGTCATGCCACGTCTGGCCGGCTGTTCACCATTCAATCTCCCTCTCTCATCATCCCTGCTCAGCATCTCCTTCCAGCATGCACTCAATCAAATTCTCTAACCTTTCCTCTGAATTTCGGGGTCCAGGGTTTTCATCTGTGTGTGTTTCATTTGGTCTCTGGAATCTTTGTTGAAGAAGGACTCTGTAGTGCATCTGCCTAGTCCGTCGTCTTGCCAGAAGTCCTCTCCAATTGTATTTTAAAATCCAAATTCTTCACCATGTCCTACAAGACCCTATGGGGTCCACAGACAGCAATTCATGGACCAAATGTGAGGTACCGTCTGTTTTTGTAAATGAAGTTTTATTGGAACACAGATTCACTCATTGATGTATGTATAGTCTATGTTTGCTTCCCCACTAGAGCTGAGTAGGTGGAACAGAGATTACATGGCCCACAGAGTCTAAAATATTTATTACTGGCCCTTTACAAGAACTGTCTGTTGACCCCTGTCCATACAGGATCTTGCCTAACTTCAATTCCTACCTTCCCTCAGTCACAACACTGCAGGTACATGGGCTTATTCTTCTGTTCACTAAACATATCAATTTCCGTTTTCTTGTCCTTGCTTTTCCCTCTGTTTGGACTGCTCCTCTCCTTGATCCTACTTTAACTAAATGGCAACATCTTGTCATTCAGGTAAACTGAGCTTCAATGTAACCTCACAGAAGGACCTTTCCTGACCACTTCATGTAAAATAAACCTCCATCCTCAGTTGTTATCACAACACCTTATTTGACCATCATCACAGAATTTAATACCACTTCAACTTGTCATAGTCATCTATTTGTTTACTAATATATCATCTGTCTTCTCGCAGCAAAGTATGATTTTTTAAGACCTAGAACCTTTTATTGTTGCTATCACTCTACTTCTCTAGAGAAGGGTTTCCCAACCTTGACATGACTAACATTTGGGTCCAGATAATTCTTTGTTGAAGGTTGGGGGAGAGCATGTCCCATGCATTGAAAAATGCTTACCAGCATCTCTGGCCTCCAGTCACTACACACCAGGAGCAGCCTCCTCCTTCCTCAGTTGTGACAATCAAAAATGTCTCCAGACATTGTTAAATGTCCCCTCAGGGGCAAAATTGCCCAAGTTGAGAATCTTTGATTTAGGGCCCAAAACAGTACCTGACAGATGGTAGGTGTTCAATATGTATTGAATGTATGGATGGCAAGAACATTGGAAATGCTGTGTGAAGAGCTTTACACATACACTCTCTGAATCCTTACAACAACCCTAAGAGGTAGTACATACACTTTACAGAGGACGACACTGAGGCTCTAAACTGTTACATAACTTGTCAAGATCACAGAAGTAGGAACTCAAGGAGCAAGAACCCCAAAAGTTATGTCTGCATGAATTTTAAACTTTAAGGACTTATCAGCATCCTCAGAATTGTACCTGGTAAATTTGGAGGGAGGGAAGAGAAGCTTAAAATATAGCTTCTGCTCGCAAAGAGGCAAAACACACAAAGAAGAATTGATCTGAGACTGCAAGGTGATGGCTATGATGTGTCCACTGCTTGCTACTGGACACACAGCTGTCAGTGCCAGGGACGGGGGCTCAACTTGCTCTGAGTAGGCGGGGTATTTGGGGGGGGGCGTTTCTTTTGGAGGAGAGGGTAAATATGGGTATTTTTATTTGTACACACAGCGTTTAGGGAAACTGTTTCTGCTTTAACTGTGTGAGTATTGTTGTCCTTAAATGTAACTTTGTTCTCCTTGGTGGAATCAAGAGGAGTATTCTTTTACAAGCTTGTGAGAAAAGACAAGAGCTCAGGCCTTCCTAAAAGGTACCGTCACCATCATTTCATGATGCAACACAGCACCAAAGAAATGAAGTGAGATCAGAAGCTCCTCTATCCATCATTTAACTATCTATATGAGTTGAACAACTTAGCACACTTCTGAGACTCTCTTTCCCTCATGTAAAATGGAGTTACTGTGATTGAACAGCATGTAAAACATTGTACTTAGCACAACGCCTAACACATAGTAGGTGCTCAATAAATGTCAGGTCCTTTTTGAAGAAATAATTACAAATTGTTATAATTGGGTTATAAATACATTAATTTTATGTATTTTTCTATTGTATGCAATAATCACACAGAAATAATGAAACATGGATTTTAATATAAACAGAGATTAATATAATAATAATAACATTCAAAGTGTGATTTTGGGCTGGCTTATCTATAGAATGTTAAAAGAAAAGCAAGGGAATAATAAAAAAGAAAACAGAAAAGAATTAACAGAATCTAATAACCCTACAGATTCTGGAAGCTCAGTATGAAGTTTCAGCCAAGCACAGACCCAGGATCTACAAAGGCTTTAGCAATGTAGCTGCTGTATCCATGGAAACAAATGCAGAACTCTAGAGATACAAGGGAGTGTTCCAATTGAACACACTAACTAGGACACATCTACAACTAAGACTTTTCAATTTCAACCTTGTATGGTTCAGTGAGAAACAATGCTAAAACAGATTGAAACAACCATAATGATAACAAAGAATGATAATATCTAGTACTGATTATGAAAGAAACAACTGTGATCCAAACTGGTGACATGGATCAAAAGCCTTAAATATATGCATATCCTTTGACGAAGCAATTCTACTCCTAGGAAACATCCTAAAGAAATTATTAAACCAGTACATGATGAAATTCCCATTTAAGAATGTTTACTACAATGTTAATGGTAATAGCAAAATTCTAGAAACAATAAAAGTATAACAATGAGGATTTGGTCAAATAAATTATGATCCAGAGAGGCATTAAAATTATTATGTAAATACAGTTGCTAACATAAATGTCTGCACACTATATTATACTTAAAAATCAGATGACAAAAAAGGAATTTTAGCAATGTACCTCTTTGTTTAAAAAATCTGTATCACAGACCTTATAAAAGGTCTGGAAAGATACCCCTCGAGATGTTAACAATGATTTCTCTTTTGTGAATTTTTCGGGTTCGTTTTTTTTTGTGTGTGTGTGTGTGTGCATGCTTTCCTCCCTAAAATGAATGGTCTATACATAAAAAGAAAGTGTGGTAAAATGTATGTAGTAAAACATTTGCTATCTTAGCCATCTGAAGTCTATGAATCAGTGCCATTAATTTCATTAACCATATTGTGCAATCATCACCAGTATTCATTTTCAAAGTGAAACACAGAGTCATCAAATTCTAAACTGGTCTCAGGATTTAAAGAAAAAAACAAAGCTATAATTTACTATTAAAAGTCTCCGATTGCTACTTACCTTATATGCAAGCATGACAACATTGCAGTGGTTCCACCACCAAATACCCACACAGTAAAAAACACAATTAGAAGTGTGGTACTGAACATCATTTGCCGGGCATAAGTGGCAGTGTCTCTTATGGCCAAGGCAAAGGCCATTGCCCCACGAAGCCCTACGAGGGAACAGAAGAGGTGCTTCTTCTATTAACACATTACCAACAGGAGCCCCATAAATTCAGAGAAATGTAGTATATTCTAAAATCTTACTAGCATGTGAGCTAATATGCAATATAGATCAACATATATAAATATAGAAAGGACCTCTGGTAGCGTAGTGGTTATGAATCAGGCTGCAAACCTTAAGGTCAGCAGTTTGAAACTACCAGCTGTTCCACGGGAGAAAGATGAGGCTTTCTGTTCCTGTAAAGATTTGCAGCCTTGGGAACCCCATACAGGGTTGCTTTGAGTCAGAACCAACTCCAAGGCACATAACCACCACCATATAAATATAGAAAAATAAAGAAATTGAATTGATATTTGATATTGATAAGTATATAATTTACATACTGTAAATGCATTCATTTTTAGTGTACAGTTGCATGAATTTGGTCAAACTGCACAGATGTGCATCACTATCACAATCGAGATATACAATAGTTTCATTACTCCCACAAATTCCTTTGTGCTACGTCTTCTTAGTTCAGTCCCTACCCTGCCAAATCCCTGGCAATTACTGATCGACTCTCTGTTGTTATGGTCTGCTATATATACGGAATCATAACAATTGAAACTGTTTCTTTCACTCAGCACAAAGCCTTAGAAATCTGTCCATGTGGGTATGTGTAGCATCTGTTTGTTTCATTTTAGTGCTGAGTAGTATTCCATTGTAAGTACTAATCGGTTTGTTTATCCATTCACCCAATAAAACACACACAGATTATTTCCAGTTTTTGACAACTAGAGCTGCTATAAACATTCACAGTCAAGTTTCTGTGTTAACATGAATTAACCTTTATATTCACACTTCAGGCAACCTATTTCTGAACCAGGGTTTTAGAACCAGAACATCAAAAAAAAAAAGAAAATCCCCAAAAGGGATTGGAATACTACAAAAATTATTTTCTACTTGATGTTGTTTAAAAGGATCTTACATCAGCAGTCTATCATTTTCGTTTGGAATTATACTAGCAAATGCACTGTGAATGGCTTCTTGGAGAAGACAAGAAAGGGAAAGATGTAACTTACCAGCAAACATCATCATGTGTTGAAAATTGGATCCAATCTTACTTCTTCTACCCAAATTAAGTAAGAGGGACAATGGGTAAATATTGGCAGCTCTTCCCAAGAAAATAGCAATCTAAAATTATTGACAGGTTAAGGATCATTTCCTTGCATATTAGTATTATTTAGATTACACATTCAAGATGGTAGATTATATTAGGCTACTCAGTTTCAAACCAGTATTTTTATTCCCCTATTTAGCAGCACTTTGCAGTCTGTCCATTAGTCCACAGTGCCATACTAGGACTGCAAGGTTGGTGGCTGAAGCTCACTAGCTGCTCCTTGGAAACCCTACACAGGGTCACTATGGGTCAGAATCAACTCAATGGCACTGCACAACTAACAACATTTACCAGCACTGTCTAACAGAGATTTCTGCAATGAGAGAATGACTGAAGAACTGAAATTTTATTTAAATACAAATTCAAATAATCTTATATGGCTAGCTGCTACCAGATCGAATCGTGCAGCTCTACCATACAGAAAACATATTAGATGATTAGAAAAGTATGAAATTTGTATTTAAATGTCTATGTTTAAAATTTACATAATAGTTTAATTCGTGTCAATTGCCAGTGTTAGCAAAATGAAGAGCAGCACTAGCTAAACTTCCCTTGACTTCCTCAGAACAAAGAAAGGGACGCTCAAAGACCTCCTACCACGGAAATTTCCACTAGCCCCAATAGATCCCACTAAAGTCAGTGATGATGAAACTGAAGAATTCTGCCAACTTTTTCAGTCTGAAATTGATCAAACATGGTATCAAGATGTATTGATAATAACTGGTGATTGGAATGCAAAGGTTGGGAACAAAGAGGAAGGATCGGTAGTTGGAAAAAAAGGGCCTTGGGGATAGCAACGATGCTGAAGATCGCATTAATAGAATTTTGCAAAACCAAGGACTTCTTCATTGAAAATACAGTTATCAAATAAACAGATATCAAACTGACATCATCTGTAGAAAGAAATGGTAGATAAGCTTCATATCATCAGGCAAAACAAGGCCAGGGGCAGACTGTGGAAGAGACCAGCAACTGCTCATATGCAAGTTCAGGCTGAAGCTGAAGAAAATGAAAAGTCCACGAGAGCCAAAATAAGACCTTGAACATATATCCGACTTGATTTTACAGGTCACCTCAAGTACAGATTTGATGCATTAGACACTAATGACTGAATACCAGAAGAGCTGTGGGATGACATCAAGAACATCATACAGAAAGAAAGCAAAAGGTCATTAAGAAGACTAGAAAGAAAGAAATAAAAGAAAGAAAAAAAAAAAGAATGTCAAAAGAGACTCTGAAACTTGCTTTCCAGCATACAAATGCTAAAGCAAATGGGAGAAATGAGGAGGTAAAAGAGCTGAGCAGAAAAATTTAAAGGGCATACTCAGTGTTTCTCAAGGTGAAAGAACTAAGGAAAAACTTCAAATAAGACTAGCAATACTGAAAAACTAGCAATACTGAAGGATTCTTTGAGCAAAATAGTGAATAATGAAAAAAAGCATCAAAAGAAGGTGAAAGGAATAAACAGAATCACTGTACGAAAAAGAAATGGTCAGTGTTCAACCATTTCAAGAGCCAATGGTACTGAAGGAAGAAGTCTAAGCTGGACTGAAGGCATTGGCAAAGGCTCCTGGAATTGATGAAACACAAATTGAAATAATTCAATAAACTCATACAGCACAGGAGAAGCCCACTCATCTATGCCAAGAAATCTGAAAGATAGCTACCTGGCCAACTGACTGGAAGAGATCCATATTTGTGCCCATTTTAAAGAGAGGTGACCCAATGTAAAGCAGAAATAATTGGACAGTATCATTAATATTCCACACAACTAAAATATTGTTAAAGATAATAAAAACAGCTGCAACAGTATATTGACAGGGAACTTCCAGTGATTCAAGCCAGAATCTGACGAGGACATGGAATGAGGGATAGCATTGCTGATGTCATCTGCTGACAGCAGAGAATACCTGAAAGATATTTACCTGTGCTTTACTGACTATGAAAAGGCTTTCAATTTTGTGAACCATGACATGCTATGGACAATATTACAGAGAATGAGTATTCCAAAACACTAAATCATGCTCATGAGGAAACGTAGACCAAGAAGCAGTTGTTTGAACAGAACAAGGAGACACTGAGTGGTTTAAAATCAGGAAAGGTGTGTGCCAGGGTTGTATTTTCACCATACTTATTAAATTTGTATGCTGAGCACAAAATATGAGAAACTGGATTATGTGAAGAATAACGTAACATCAGGATTGGAGAAAGACTTTTTAACAACCTGTGATATGCAGATGATACAACCTTGCTTGCTGAAAACAAAGAGGACTTAAAATACTTACTGATAAAGAACCAAGACCACAGCCTTCGGTATGAGCTTCACACCTCAATAAATAGAAAACAAATATCCTCACCACTGGAATAATAAATAACATCAAGATACATGGAGAAAAGATTGAAGTTGTGGAAGACTTCATTTTGCTTAGATCCACCATCAACACTCATGGAAGCAGCAGTCAAGAAATCAAACAACGTATGGTATTAAGCAAATCTGCTGCACAAGACCTCTTTAAAGTGTTCAAGAGCAAAGATGTCAGTTTGAAGATTAAAGAGGGGATTTTCAATGGTCTCATATGCATGTGAAAGTTGGACAATGAATAAGGAAGACTGTAGAAGAATTGATGCATTTCAGTTATGGTGTTGGAGGAGAATATTTAAGTACCATGGACTTCCAGAAGAACAAACTGATCTGTGTTGGAAGAAGTACAGCCAGAAAGCTCCTTAGATGTCAAGATGGCCAGACTTAGCTCTCATACTACAGACACGTTAGCAGGATGGATCAGTCCCTGGGGAAGGGACATCATGCTTGGTAAAGTGGAGAGTCAGCAAAAAAAAGAGGGAGACCCCCAACGAGGTAGACTGGCACAGCGGTAGCAGCAGTGGACTCAAGTATAGCAACAATTGTGAGGATGGCACAGGACCAGGCAGTGTTTCATTCTGTTGTCACTACTATGGATTGGACGGATTCAATGGCACCTAACAACAACCACCAGCGTGTCCCATTGAGTTTCTACTTTCACCTGCTGCAAAGGAGAGGCTAAAGTGCATACCCACTGTAATGGCTTTCCTCCGGTTAGAACAGATTATCAAGCTGTTTACAGAGGCTCCTGCTTTACAATCCCTATTATTAATTCAGGGGTCACAATACCACCTCAAATCCATTTTCTGAAAGGAGAAAAAATGAAAAGCTAAGATTGAAAACAAGTTTTCTATATTTTTACAACAACAACAAAAGAAAACAGAAGCTAAGATTGCACCATTGGTAACTATATAGTCGATGGTTCAAACCCCCCAGCCACTCCTTGCAAACTATACATAGGGTCACTATGAATGAGAACTGACTCAACAGCACTTAACAACAACACACACATACACAAATACATCCCCTCAATGTCCGGGAAATGGTGCTGACCTAAGTACCTAGAAATGAGCGGCGTCTGTAACACTTGGGGCTAGAGGAAGTATACATGAACACTATGCTAGTGATACAAGTCTTTTCCCACAGGCATTGATTGACAGGCTACCAATTGTGATACTACAATGCATGCATACTGGAATTGATCAAGCCAGGTTTCTCACTGTTAGAGTGGGACTTTACCAATCAGCAAGAGGAGAAGGCTAAAATGATCTATGTGGTAATGGAACAGAACTAGAGATGTAAGTATGAATCCTGGTTAGCTTAGTATCACTACAGATAGTTACAGAGAGGAATATTCATAGATTTGTGTACATACACAGGTTAGTATACGCACATATGCTTCTCAGCTGAAAGAGCCCACAAGCACACCCGCAGCTCCTTGAAGAAATGGCTAAGACGGTATATAAGATGAGCCTGAACCATCTTCAGTACCACAAAGTAAGGAAGTACTAAACGACAGCAGCAAAACAACTCAAAGCAAAAACCATCATGATGGGGGTATGTCAAAGGGGCACAAGAACCCACTAAAAGAGCTCCCAATGACCGTGGCTAGAACAATTTGAGCAAAAAGATAAAGTATTATGGAATTATAGCCCAAAGCATAAAGTATTTCTGAGGTCATACTGACATAAACACATAACTGAATAACAGGTGAGAAAAGAAGATAAATCTCCCAAGCAGAAAAAGTAGAAATAATTTATGTAGCTACTCTGCCCTCGAGGGGGTGGGTTATAGATAGTCATGTCCTTCTAAAGAGCACATACAGAATGAGCATAAGAAAAGGTTTTCATTCTTTGATGGTTACCAGTGGTAGAAGGGGGGGAGGGAGGAGAGGAATTCACTGTCTAGAGGGTAGACACATGCTAGCCTGGGTGATGAAGAGGGCAATACACAAGAAAAGGGAGGGTGGCAGAAGAAGAGTGAAGATACATACAGACACAGGGAGGTAGGTATGCATACATAGGTTAAGGGGATAGAGGTAAATAGTGATATATCCAAGAACCTTGAAACAATTATGTTCTATGCATAGATATATGGATTGAGACCTAGGCTGAATGAGTAAGGGAGGACCCTGGGACCATCAAGGGAAAAGATTGGAGTGCGGGACCCTACCCAGAGAAGCAGTGACACCAGAGATGGAGGCAGAGACGATGACGTGGAGATGGAGAGGATGGGGGCGGGTTTGAGGAGTGTGCCCTTCGGTTGTTTAAATAGTTGTATATTCCTGAGTGCTTCGGTGCTCAGTGTACATCCAAAAAAAAAAAAAAGAGGGTATGGAAGCAAATGCTATTGAATGATGATGCATTGAGGGGATTGTAATCACTGCAATGAAACGGATGTTTTCCCATTTAAACTATCACCCAATTCATAATAAAAAACTTTTTAAAAAGTTACCAGTATTAGTTCATTAATTTTGATTAATAACTGATTTTAACAGGGAAAACTGGGCGTGGGGCATTTGGGCACTCACACCTTTTCTGCAAATATATATATATATATATATATATATATATATATATATATATAAATAAATAGAGGCGATTTCCTTAAAAAGTAAGATAACGAAACATGTAAGCAGCAACTGCTAGTTTT